CCAGGAGTGGCCGTTTCACCCCCAACAGCAGGGAAGACCAGTTTGGCTACCGTCTGCACAACCCCAGCTCGGGACCCGTCCGTTAGCCGGGTTCGGGCCGGCACCATCCGGGGCGCTCAGAACAAGGGCTATTACCTGCCGAGCCACCCGGCGCGACCCCGGAGAATTCAAAGCAAAAACCGCCCCCCAAAAAAACCAGCAACAACAACGGTTCAGGCAAGAGATTGTGGGAGAGCAGGTCTCGTGCTGGGGCCCGAGGGAAATGTCTGGGGGGCCGGGGGGGGGTTGGGGACAGAGCTCAACACTCGATCTGTGACTGCAGCTGCCGCCGGAGAGTGAGAGTGCGCCGGTGCAGTTGCTGCATCTGCTGCATGCGGTCCCGCTGGCGGGCCAGATTCTGGGGCATGGGGTAGCGCTGGGAGCCGTACAGGTAGCGGTAGGGGATGCGGATGTGGCAGGCCGTGGCGCGGCAGCGGGGCTGGGGCATGGGCGGCAGGAGCATCCAGCGCTTCCGCTCGGCGCAGTAGCGGTACGCCTCCTTGCGGTACTGCTTGTCGACGTCGTCGCTGTTCTTCCAGCCCCCGATGATGAAGACGTCCTCGCCGAAGTAGCAGACGGCGGCCCCCTCGATGCTGATGACCTCCGGGGGCAGGCTCTCCAGGATCTCGTCCGAGATGCGGGCGCTGATCTTCTGCCGCGCGGCCTCCTCGCGCACCGCGTACCTCTTGGGGCAGCAGGAGGCGGTGTTGTAGAAGTTGGTGTGAGCCACGGCCATCTGGAAGACGCAGTAGTTGTCGATGAGGGGCAGGGAGTCCACGTCCTGCCACTGCCGGCTCTCGGTGTCGTAGCGCGTGGTGATGGTCTTCAGCCCGTCGTCGCTGTCCGTGTCCACGGGCGTTCGGGCCGAGATGTAGACGTAGCGGTCCTCCACGCTGATGGCCTTGACGTCCCGCAAGATCTTGGGCGCCGACTCCAGGTTGTGCCACTTGTCCTGCTCCGGCTCGTACACGCTGACGTCCTTGAAGCCGGGGCTGAAGTTGCCGTGGCCGCCGATGCTGTACAGGATGTCCTTGACGCAGGTCAGCCCGAAGGAGTGCTTGCGCGTGGTGAGGTTGCTCACCTGCTCCCAGGTGTTGCGGTTGGGGCTGTAGCGCTCCACCGTCTTGGCGAAGCCGGGCTCCATGGACCCGGCCACGTAGACGTGGGACTCGGTGGCGGTGATGGCGTGGCCGTCCAAGTGGTTGTGGATGTGCGGCAGGTTGACCCAGCGGTCCTCGTACACGAAGTAGCCCACACACTCACTCAGGTAGTCCCCGCCCTCAGAGACGCCCCCCACCACCATGATCACGTCCATGTTCTGGCCGAAGCGCGGCTGGAAGGCGGCCATGTAGGAGGCCCAGAACTCCAGGTCGGCCGTCTTGAGGTTCTCGAAGCGGATGGCGTGCCCCTCCACGGCCTCGGACACCAGCCGGAGGCACGCCTCGTTCTCGGCCACCAGCCTCTCCGCCTTGACCATCCGGGTCAGGAAGGTGGGCTTGATCTGCGGCAGCCGCAGCAGCCGGAACAGCTCCTCGAAGTACCTCTCCCGCTCCTCGGGGCTCCTCTGCACCCACTTGACGATGGCCTCGAACAGCACCTCCTCCGAGTCCACCGTGATCTCCGTGTCCGAGAGCCAGTCCCGCACCAGGTGGAAGGGCAGGGTGTAGAACTCCTCGTCCTGGATGACCTTGTGGAAGTTGCGCCGGATCATGTCGGCCGCCTTCAGGGCCAGCTGGTCCAGGGAGTACATGTGGGCCAGGCTGTGGACGGCCACGCAGTTAGCGAGGCTCAGCTTCTTCTTCAGGAAGTCCCCGCAGAACCCCTTCAGCTGCAGCAGCAGGAACCTGGGCACAAACAAAGGACACATGTTCATTCCTGCGTCTTTCCCTGGCAAGGAAGCTACGCGTCCAGGTGACGGTCACGGCAAGCTGGAGCCTAGAACGGAGGATAAGAGTATGTTCTCCCTGTGTTCAGGTGGATTTCCTCTGCGTGCTCTGGTTTCCTCCCACAGTTCATGGCAATGGTCCTGGTGTGAGTGTGTGCACATCTGTGTGTGTCCTGTGATGGATGGCTGTCCTACCCAGAGTGTACCCCACCCGTTGCTTGCTGGGATAGGCTCTGGCTCCCTTGCGACCCTGACTTGCGTCAAGCAGTTTCTAATACAGAAGGATGAATGAATGAATGACAAAACACAGGAAAATAACCCAGAACAGCCAATCAAACTAACCCTGGAGGTATACTACATGGAAGTGCACGGGATAAAAGGTAGGGAGAGTATGGAACAAGCTATGCAGCCGAACTGCTAAAGCCAGCCCCCGACTTCTTGGAAAGAAATGGTGGAATAAGATCCCTGGAACAATCACAACGGCAGAATGGCCTTCTTTAGCTTGCCCAACCTTTATGTTCTTAGGATTTGTGGAAACCGGAGTACCTAGCAAAAACTCAAGAGAACACAAAAACTCCACACAGACCTCCCCGACACTGGAATCAAACCACAGCACCCTGCAGCTGGCCACAGGACCATGTCCGTGTTCATTCATTTATAAACCTCCACAAGCACTGTTTCAAGACACACAAACATCCAGTTTCTCACCACTTTATCCACTGCTGGGCGCCAGGTGAGCCGAGCCTATCCCTGCATGCAATGGCTGCAAGGCGGGACACACCCTGGAGGGGACGCCAGTCTATCGCAGGGCCGACACACAGACACTTGAAAAGCACTGCATTTCACATAGATTAGCAATCAAAGCTAGAGCATTCCCAAAAAATTACACCAGTGCTTGACCCATCTCTTCTACATTGTCAGTTTCTTTTATGTTTTTTTTTTCCTTTAGTCATAATGCAAATCCCACAGTCCATTCTGAATGACTGAATGCATAAACATACCTGCTCTTCTTGCAAAATGAGCAGCAATGCCATTCTCTTGGAATGAAAGCCCCCGAGACATAACCCTTGATTTGTCATTCCAGGCCGGAATGGATCTGCATCATGCCGGGCTTAACGAACAAGGGAATTAATGTCACTCAAGAGCACGGCACCTAGCTCATTAACACTCAACTGGTATCTACTTGGATCCTTTCACCAGAGGACTCCACCTACACAAGAGACAAAAATCCTTGTGGAATCTCACAGGCTTACATGGGGTTTTATCTTTTGATATTCCATATAATATACTATAAGCACAAGATCTGCAAAATTGTAAGTCATTGATCTGAAAGGCATATGGTGTACATCTGCATACACTAAGGCACTGACTTAAGGATGACACACAAACATCAAATCATATCTTAAGGAATAAAACATTTTTATCCTCCATCTGTCAGACATTTCATCAACCAAAATCCAGCACGTCCCTTCCATCTGCACAGGAAATGATCATCGGAATACTGGATGCGAGGAAAGCTGCAGGATCCGAGTTAACACTAGCCTGGGGAGACAGGTTATTTCGACAGATGACTGCACTGGGTAACCAGCTGCCCGGCTATCACGAAAACTGAGGCCCCTGAATTGTAGCAGTCATTGTACAAAAGCCAGCAACGAGCATGAAGTGTTTAGTGACACGTGGAGTGAAACTGGACAGTGCCCTGCATAGCGATTAGTGCTGCCACCTCACAGCCCCGGGGTCCTGGGGTTTGATTACAGATGAGGTCACCTTGTGCGTGGAGCTTGCATATTCCCCAGCACCTTTCTACCAGTTCATCCGCTTCCTCCCACCTTCCAGAAGCCTGCTGGTGAGATTCACCTGGCATCTCTAAATTACACGCCTGTGCCTGCGTTTGCTTTGGACCCTGTTCCTCAAGGACAGACTCCAGGTGGCTGTGATCAGAACTACTTTCCGAAACTGGACATGTGCACAGGGGGAGCTAAACTGAAATGACACACTTCGGTCTGTTCTTCAGCGGTACAGTTTGTACCAAAGCCCACACCTTTTACTATTCATATACTGTACATAGATCTTGTGATCACGCAAACTGAGTCTTACCTCCGCAGCATAAAACACTTTTCCAGATAAACGAGGACAAGGTGAGTTTTCATGTGGAATCATTCCGGGAATGGACAGACGTCCGCTTAAGCACTCGAGAAAACGCACAACCCCAGGTCTCGTCCTACTAGCGGGGAATGAAAGATCCGACACCGCTGTTAATTTGACAACACTGGGCAGGAACAATGCATTTACTGGTTCGACGGGTTTCTGTAAATGCTAGAGCAAACCTTTGGGAACCAGATGACTTCAAGTTCACCGGAGACAGGACAGGAGTTTTAAGATTAACCTTAAGCCAAAAACGCGCTAATTTGTAAACTGAGCATTACGATTTTGCGGAGATGGAAATCGGGGTGGCTAACGTTCGTGTGCATTAAACGCGTAAAAATGATCTGACGGCTATTCGCTACTCTTGAAGCCTATCGGACCGAAAAGTGTTACTGATCTGTAGAAGGAAACCCTGATTCGGTCTTGCGCTGATTAAAGATGTCTCGTTTGCGTAGTGATGAATTGAGAAATGAACGCCTTGCAACTGAAACGCAGATTTAACAAAAAAAAAAATCACATTGTTTCTGGAGGGGCCTCTCCAACCAGAAGGAATATGGTCCCCCTAGTTCTGGTGAGACAAAAAGCCCAGATATTTCCTCAGCCACGAACATTAGCATCATTTACCCGTGCTGTTACAACATGGGTTCATGGGTTGGGTAGTGTTACACTGCACAAACGCCAACTCGCTGTTCAAAGTGAGTGAAGTATCTAGCTAAGGACTCGTTGTCGGCAACTGCGAGAGAGCTAATTGCACATAAAAGGACCGCGACAGAAACGCAAATCGGGAATACAATAATCCGTTTAATCTTGATATTTGGGCTAACACGCATTGCGGTCTCCCCACCCCTTTTTGCTGCTGTTCTGTGCCACTCAATGGAGGGGAGCATTTAAATGCATTGCGGTTCAGTCCTGCTCAAGCAAGAATCGCCTTTTACACGACTGAGGCTCTTCAAAGCGACCGGGAATCGCCGGTTCCTGCGATCTCTCTCCCCACCTGTCCGCCAGCTCCAACACTTCGTGGACGTTGCAGGTGCTGACCCGGATCTCCCCGGTGTACATGTACTGTATGACGCTCTCCACGGTCTCCGGGTCTGGCCCCATCTCGGAGCTCCACTCCTTCATTTCGACCCGGCCGGAGAGCGACTCCGAAAACTGCCCCCCCAGCAGCGGGGTGAAGTAGTCGGTGGCGGCGGCCAGGACGGAGCGGTGAGCCGCGAACTCGCAGCTCGGCACGGCCCCGGCGGCCGCCCCGCTGCTGAAGGCCAGCGTCACGTCGCAGAAGAGGCCGCGCTTCCTCTGCTCGTTCTGCCGGCGAGACAGCTCCGAGCAGTGGGAGGACGAGGTGAAATCCTCGGCCTCTTCCGCGTCGCCGTCGCCCGGCAGGGCCGTGGCGGCGCAGCCCCCGCCGCTGCTGCCGCCGCCGTTCCGGCTCGAGTCGTCAATATTGGGCGCTGCGGCCGCCATGTTGGTGGAGGATAACGTGAAATTGTAATGGTCTGTGAAGTAACAAAACACACACAGACAGAGACGAATCAACGCACAGAGCCGAAGGCGTAATTCCCACATTGGTTCAAAATGCCCCCCGCCCTTCTTGATTACGTACTAAATACTGGGAGGGATTTGCATCATGCATTTAACTACCGATTCTCAATTGCCACCTTCACAATTGTAAAATATCGCCACACAAAACTTTTTTTTTTAATGGAATCGCATTGCTTCCACCAAGGAAACAAAAAACCTGAGTTATCTCCTAATTACCAGATACCAAATTATCACGTAATTACGAGATAGCAACGACCATATCCGTGTATGAACAACCCGTTACATTTGCTGTGACAGTACAAGCTATTGATATGTTAAATACTCCTGTGCACAGGCTGACTTTCTCCTGGGGTTAGCAACTATAGCAGATATCATATATGAGAACGCGTGATCACATACAGTACGTGAGTATATGCTACCTTGTAATTACACTTATCTCGTTATCAAATTATCTTTTAATTACGAGATGATAGCAGATCAACTCGTAATTCCGAGACAGTAAATCTCACGTACTGTTTGTGATCACGCCACATACTCCAATATGATATCTGCTATAGTTGCTATCTCGTAATTACAAGATAATCTGTTATCTCGTAATTTCGAGATAATTTGCTATTTGGTAATTACAAAATAACTCGGGATTTTGTTCCCTTTGTTGCCAGCAATGCTCTTTAGGGTTACAGTATTAAACGTATCAGTACATTAAAACAGTCCAGTGTTTCGACAGAATCGTTTACACCCGACCTGTAACTTCTGTTCTCGTACCCTGGCTACACTTTCCTATGAGCAAAAACGATTAAAAAAATCAAATGTAATTTTTCTAACGACGAAGAATGACCAAACTCGAGAGATGCCCACTAACAACACCCATTTAACAAGACGGTGCTATACTGCCAGCTAATAATGGAGAGGAATATCGCTGAAAGAAGCAAGCAAAACAAAAACAAAAAAACACGGTCTCTGCTTCGGTTACCGGTGTCCCGTTACGAATAGGGAACTATGAAACACGAGCAGCTGGAGTGGAAAATCTGTGCGGGTTTGAGAGGAGAGATAAAGAGGGATTTTCGCAAGTTGGGCAGGGACTGTGGGCCTCGGCACGGACTGTACAAAGTGGCATCTGTGAACAAGCCTGGCACGGACAGTGCGAGAGCCAAAGAAACAACACAGGATCGCCCACAACTGAGAACTGAGACCATGACGCCGTGCACGCAAGCGGGATAAACTGTTACACGAACCAAAAGGCTCAACTCCCCGAAACAAGCGACAGAAACCTGTTCTTAGAGCTCGGACCGTGTGGGAGTCCAATGGTGAAAGGAGTTTTAATAACGATTTGTTTCAAGAGAAATTACCAGACCGGCTGGTTGTACTGTTTAAGCCGGTCAGTCACACACCTAAATCAAAGGGGTTTCATTCCATCCAATAAATTTTGTGTAAACTGATTATTTCACCGATATGTCACTATCACCCCCCCCCCCGACCTCAAGTTTCAAGAATAGGAATATTACAAAGGCCTGCCCAGTGACTTAGGCTTAATATTTTCTTTCACCAAATTACATGGTGGCACCATCTTTTCCACATTCCCTGAAGTACACAGGCACGTTGTAGAGTACAGAGCAAGGTACCCCGCCATGCTGTTGAGGCCAATACTCTGACTTCTTTCAGGAAATAGCTAGATCGCTTCGTCAGATTACTAGCCCCTCACAATTAAATAAGCAGGATGGTCCAGATACGTCTTTATTGTACAAACCTTACATTTGTCTTGTCTTTCCTTTCTTCTGTTTTGACAGTGACTGAGATAGGCTCAAGTTTAGTGTTTTACTAGAATTGAGAGAGGAAGTCCAAACCGATAGTCCAAGATTTGTTGGTGACAAACGTCTGAGCTCCGAAAGTGAATTCTGAAACTGACAAATGGCATGAGCGATGACGGGCCTATTCCAAACTCGGAGATGTCCAATTCCAAATTGGTCTCGGCTTTTATCCCAGGATTGCAGAGAGTTCTGCAAATTAGACCCATCTTTCCTAAGAAAGGACTATTTCATGGCTCTCTCCAGCAAATACATAGAAATGCAAACCTAGACCCCAGGTCGGTTCACGTTCAGGTTTCGGTCCAGGCAGAATCCTGGGATAAAGATGTGTGTGGTTCCTCAATCTTCAACCCTTTGTGCAGTTCAGAGTAAAGCAGAGCAGCACCAAGCAATCATAAGAATCCCACACCAATTAACTAAGAAGACGTGTTTATTTTCACTACAATATTACATGGGTTATATTAATAATAATAACAACAACAACAATACAGAAGCACATTTCACACCAAATAAAATAATGTAAAACAAGGTAAAAATAGGTTAAAATGATACAACTGAGGGATGGGTTTTGACAGATACAATGAACAGTTTTGATTTTGTCGATGTGGCTGGGTACAGAAGGGAACACTTGGTACAGATCTCACACAGTTAAGTAAGCGGGCCTCAAGCTAGCCTATGTTAAGCCACAAGAAACACGGATAGCTAGTTAGTTATGGTCCCTTATGCTAAGACTATTTGCTTCAGCTCAATTGAGCCCCAGGTGCCCTTCATTCTTCACTCAACAGGCTCGGGAAAACAAAAACAAACCTTTTTGTTGATCCTCCTAAGATCATTGCAGGATGCACTGCCCTCGAACCCGAGTGACTAGATCTCCATGCACCATGAAGCCACAGGAACATGCACTCTCTCACACAAACCATTCCTCTCCCACGCCTTATGCAAGGCTAGCAGATGACACGGCAGATCAGGATTTGACATTCATTTGCTAGATAACGATCGTATGATCTGATTTTTTTTTTATGCTTGCCTATATAAAACTACTGCCTAAGCCAGGAGTCTCCACCCCTAACCATCCAGCCAGGCTCGTAGGTCCCCATGAATTCACCAGGTTCTGCAGACACACAACAATTCGTTTGTGATCGATTAAAAAGGTGAGGTGATCTGCTAAATTGAGAAATTCAGAGATCACTTAGAAGTAAAACCTCAATACACTCCAGCCCTCAAGGACCAGAGTTTTCTTATTTGAACAGTTAACTAGGTTAAGTTATTAATACATTTAAGGTGCTGCCAATGTTTTAAGTAGGTGACCTACAGGACCAACTGGATTGGGGGCCTTCAAGAACCGAGCTGCTGACCCCTGGCCTATACAAACTGGGAGCAATTTTTTGCGATAACTAACCTGAAACCTCAACATTTAGAAACACAAGCATTCCTTGCTATGCAACTAGAAGTAGTATCTGCAGTGGAGGAGAGAAAAACAAAGCAAAATGCATCGAGGTAAGCACGAGATTCTGTTGATCTCCACTGAAGTGACACAGTGCTAAAGACAGCAAGGCTAGATCACAATTTCACATTTCCTACTCTAATGAACAGCAGACTGCGACCAGCAACACTGGCAGCTTTCTTACCTGTTTAGTTCTTTACATATTTCCCATTTAAACCAGAAAGTGTGATTGCACAGTAAGAAATTGCATTGCTTGTTGAGGATGATGGTATTTTGTATTCATTCATTTGAGAGATTTTCAGTTCAAAACTGGTCACGGATCACTCACGGTTTGTGAAGAATCTGAAAGATACCCTACCCCCCCGCCACCAAAACCTACTCCCATCCCTCCTGCTGCAACTCTGACAGACAACAGCTCAGAGGATCTGATCTCTGAACCCCCCTCACACACACACAAGGTGGCGCTCCTGAGCTGTCTCGATTACATGGTCATGTGCTCCGGCAGCACATAGGAGATATCATCCCATGGGTGACGGTACAAGCCCTGCTTCAGCCTCTTCTGGTCCAGGTAGTGCCCTGGTGGGAGAAAGACAGCGTCATAATACTCCATCCTCATCCTCCCCTCACAGGTAAGTCAAAAACTTAAACGTACTGTATTTCTGCTTTTTTCCCCCTCCATCATGAAGGACACGAATTCTCTCAAGCAGGGCTCTTCCAATCCAGCCCGAGAGAATTGCACAAGTTTTTATTTCCCTCCCCGCATTGTAACCCAAGTATTTTAATTAAAAAAAACAGTCATTGGATTAAACAATGAAGATCAACGTTCCCAGGATTAAGAATTGACTCTGGACTGGACAGTAAAAAAAAAAGGAAATGTCAGAACGAGAGGGGAGGCCTGTCTCTCTGCAGGACCCCCCTGCTAGCCCCCTGCCGCAGTCCCCAGACTCACCGATGAAGCCCATGCTCCTGCCCAAGACGAAGATCCCGTTCAGAGCTCCGATCTCCACGTACTCGTCAGCCTCCTCCCTGAAACACAGCCGCAGTGGTGGTGAGGAAGAGTGGAGCCGCAGGTCCAGTAGATCTATCGGGTTTGACTTGGGTCGGCATTGCTGCCTCACAGCGCTGGGGGCCTGGGTTCAGTTCCTGGAGTGCTGTCTGTCTGGAGTTTTGTATGTTGTCCCCATGTCCTCATGAGTTCCCTCCAGGTGCTCTGGTTCCCTCCCACAGTTCAGAGGCATACCGGTAGGTTAATTGGCTTCTGGGAAAACTGACTCTGTTGTGAGTGTGGGGTTTCTCTCTCTATGTCTGCGTGTGGCTTGTGAGGGACTGTTTAGTCTTCCCAGCAGTGAGTTTGGCTGCTTGAAAGTACTATAAACAAGGTTTCCCTGTTCTACCAGCTCAATCTGGGCCGAAGAAAGTCCCCGAAACGAAAATCGTGTTTCTCGTTTAATGACGCGTTGTGTCTCGGTATAGCAACCCTCTCACCGTGTGAAGCCATCACAAGTCCTCAGCAGATCCACGAAGGCAACCCCAATGAAACCGTCTACATTCAGGATGAGGTTGGGTTTCTGGAAAACGCAGAAATTCCTCAAATGAGACACATGGCAAATTAAAGCCAGACAGGTTGGCTTGCTAGCCAACGGCAGTCGCATCCCAAAGCATGATTTTTGAATTGGAGGGGTCCACATCGAAGCGTTTAACGAAAGTGATGAAAGATCAAACAGGCCACCAGCACAGCTGAAGTGTCGGGTGAAAGGTCAGTGCAGCTCGCACCGAAAACACCAGATCAAACAGCGGGTGTATTTATCCGAGCTCCTGGTGAGCCCCAGTCCTGCTGGTTTTAAAAGTGGACATCAATAAAGCCGGGGAATCCTTAAACTGAGAAATGAAAAGAGCTTCTCCAACAAAAATCTGATGGCCCATTTCCCGTGCGCGAACAAACCACTTGCTAAATTGATCGGTAGCTCACAGTGTCGTCAGTTTTTACAAATAGGAAATTTAGGGTGTGCAATATGATCTTGTGGATCGGGGATCACCAGGAGCAGGGCTGGAGATCCCTGGACCGGAGGCCCACCAGTGCCCAGCCAGCTACAGAGCTGTTGTAGGACAAACTGATCATTGTTTAACCAGGCGAAGGTCGCTCACGCAATCATTTTCTGGTGTAAGAATTCAGTAGTGGTACAGGGCAGGCAGGGCTCCACTGGGGCGATAGTGCAGGGTCTGGTTTTTATATCAATTCAGATTCTGAGCCTGGAGACCAGGAGAGGATGCTAGCTCTGAACTAGATGCGTCTCGCTCTCAACTACCCCACCAGGCCAAAAGCAGCACATGCCTTAGAGGTGGTGATCTTCTCCACGTCCAGGGCGTAGTCCAGCAGGTGGGTGGCAGGGAAGTGCTGCTTGACGAAGTCCTTCAAGATCTGCACCCTCATGTCCGGGTTGTTGATCTGAAACGGCAGGAGGGCGAACCTCATCAGGCACGTGGAGTGACAATCTCTTACGACCCAATTGCCTCTCCGACCTGCTCAAGGATGGGGCACAAAGCACCACACAAATGCAGGCAAGCATCCTGATTTCCACAGAGCTGAATATTGCTCTTCCTGGGTCATGCCACACTAGAAACCACATCCCCAAGACAGAGATGTTATGTTTGCAACCATAGTACCAATACTTCGGCATGGGCATCCACGTCAGGCCCTACACAACACGCAAGGTCAAATGACCAGACGCAAATGGCCAAACTTTCTCCCTCTTCTTTTGTCCCTGGTACTAAATCACATAGAACGCAACGTACAGCATTTCTCCAACTTTACTGTGGCTTCCTCTGAAAACGAATTAAGATGGAAAAAGTACACCTGTACAGCGGCTGAACCCTTTATGCCTGATTCAGTTATCAGATGGTGTGGAGTTACATGACTGCAGGAATAAAGGGATTGTACCAATGCAAGGCCTTTCTTCACACAGGACCCAGCTGCAGGTGTGGTCACTGACGGACAGCATGGCGCACAGGCACAGAGTACCCAGGCTCTGCTCTGGAAAGAAGACTGTTCTCCCTCACCGACTTGACCCTGTGGCCGATCCCCATGATGAGCTTCCCTTCCTTCTTCATCTTGTTGACGAACTCCATGGGCAGCAGGCTGCTGTCGAAGGCTTTGCTGAACTGCTTCGCTGCTGCGTCCAGCGCCCCTCCAAACCGGTCGCCCTGCAACAAGGAAGAGACGGTCTTTCTCTTGCAGTCGCCAGGTCGGCAACGAACCTTCTCTTTCCGGTTTGTTTTTATTCTCATGGAGTGACATTCATTTTTGCAGTTTTTCTGTTGGTTTTACCCCCAGCATTTCCAGACACTTGTTACGAGAGGAGTGCTATAAAAGAATACTCAGTCTCATCTGTCTGGAAGCACATGATTACTAAACTATAAGCCAACAGACCCCACAACCACAGGACTCTGGGATCACAGTGTAAGGAGCCACCCTTAAACTAAAGGCACTGGGCCGAGAAAGATAAAGGGTCAAGACTAGAACCACTTTCAATGTTACAGAGTGATTCTGCTGAGCATGGGAGTTAATGGCTGCTGTGCACCGGTGATGGATGAAATGGGTGCACTCTGGCAGGCTTGGTATTTGGTATCCTTTGGGCTGTTATACAAATGCAAGGAATTCTTGGAGTCTTTGTTAGGGATGTCACGTTGAGCAGAGGGGTCCCTACGATGGTCAGCAGGCCGGAGGTGAGGCTGGAGATGAGGTCCTTCCCAGCTCGGGCGCAGACGATGGTGTTGTGGGCGCCGGACACCGCGGGGCCATGGTCCGCCGTCACCATCAGGCACATCTCGATGAACTGGCAGGCGTAGCGCGGCAGCCTGGAGCACACACGCAACGCCGCGTCAGGGCAGGCACGGCACACGCTTCCAACATGCATGCCAACATACACCCTCCCCCCTCCCTAGACTCCTCACTGGTGAATAAATTAGACTGCACTTACTGGTCTTGTCTTTTCAGTACCTGAAAGACAAACCCCTGCTGCAAGCCTAAGAAGCTAAGCTATTCATTTTTATACACACCAAATTATTCCCTCTCAGTATTGCAACCTTTGCAGCTTGAAATCCCCTCTAGAGCAGAACTGCTGAGTAATGCTTTGTGCCTGGTGTATAAACCTGGACATGTGAATATGAAGAGCATGACTCAGCAATTAATGAGGGGGGGAACTGCCACAGGACTGACCTCCTCTGGAACCACAGCAGCCCCAGCACCCCACCGATGCCCATCTCCTCCTTGAAGACCTCGGTGATGGGCATGCCGGCGTAGATGAGCTCCTGGCCCCTCTCGTCACAGATGCTCGTCATGAAGGAGGCCGGCTTGCGGATCAGGCCCAACTCCTGTTGGCAGAGACACGGGCACAGAGCGGGCCGGTGAGAGGAACTTCTCCCATCTCACTGCCTCACTAGTTCCCTCCCCTCGGCATGGGCCGGATTAACGACGGGACACAAGTCTTCTCTTTCTGGACGGGTGGCTGTTTTTTCCCCTAGCTGCTGAGCACAGACTGGGGCTCTCCTCTGACTGCTAAACCATACCAAGAGCCAAAAGGAATATCCATCCAATCTTCCCAGAAGCCACCAGCAAGTGGGACTGTGGGATGAAACCCACGTGAACACAGGGAGAACATACAAACATACAGTCCTAAGGGACACCTTTCAAAGCGCCCGATTTCCCATCAGGCTGGGCGTCTGAGCTCAGGACAGGGGCAAGAGTCACGCCTTTTCTGCCCTGTCTCAGTGTGCCTGATCTGAGGTGCGCTGTGAAGCAACGGGAGAGAAACGGCGTCCCCTTCTCTTCCTCGGATCCCCGGCAGACCTACCCGTGCCCAGGAATAGTCCATTGGCACTGTGGGTGGGGGCACCTCCTGGGCAGGAACAATGACGCCCTTGGCAACCAGGTCATCATACACTGACCTGCAGGGGAGAGGACAACCAGCACACAGCAGTCAGAAGAGGGTGCTGCCTGGGTTAACAGCTGCAGTCAGTGTGTGGGCCTGTAAGGAACAGTCAGACAGTGTAGAACAGAGCACGGCGGCCCGGCAGCACTACTGACTTGATGGCGTCTCCCAGTTCGTCGAAGCTCTTGGGCACGATGGCGCCCGCCTCCTTCAAAGCCTGGTTCTTGGCGACGGCGGTCTCAGACGCCTGGTTGGCACAGGCGCCGGCATGGCCAAACTGGACCTGAGGGAACAGCGGAAGGGTTACGTGGCAGTGGACACACAGCCCAGTCGGACTGGTCAGACCACGTTTCTGACGGGTCACCCAGAGACACAACCGCTGTATGTCACGGATGGGCAAGTAACACAACACAGACACGTTCTGGGGAGTAACTGTGCTTTATACAAGCTGATCCCCTGGAGGCAGGAGACTGCCGTTTTAGCTTTTTACAGAGAATATTCTCTGGCCTGAAAATGAGCAGCAGCAGCATTCCATCAGAATAAGACTAATTAAGCAATCAGGCATGAGATACAGGCATACAAGCCTCATACTGTCCTCTTCTTGGTCTGTGTTCAGGTCAAAGGAGCAGCTGAGCAACCAGAGATAAGATTAAGCATTTAATCACTGTTCAAACACTGAACAGCCAAGATGCTCAAACTGGTGTACAAGTTAAGGGGGGACCATAAGTGATGTAGTTAAGGCTTCCCATACTGCATGCATGAGGAGAGAGCTGTGGGATTGGGGGAGAAACGTGCGGACAGGACACTCACCTCAGAGGAGAACATGGTGGCACAGGTTCCGATGCACCAGCACACCACCGGCTTGGTTATCCTGCCCTCCTTAATGCCCTGGCAGATCTTATACTCCTCCGTGCCACCGATCTGCTCAGCAGACAGAAAGGGAAAAGAAAAAGGAGAGAGAGGGAGACGTCTTGAAGCAATTGAGGTCTCTAAGGAACTCCCTCCTGAAATGACATGGGTGTCTGTGTTGATCCCCATGTCTCAAGTCTCGCCACGTGGAAGGTGCCCTTTGTAAATGCATTTTATGTGCAGAAAAAACTGTAAATGTTAAGAAACACTGAGCCTTGCTGCAGAGCTTCAAGGCCAAAGAGCCACAACGAAAGGAAATGCCATCCCTGGGTCTCCCCAGAGTAACGTGTTCTCACCTCCCCAAGCACCACGATCATCTTGACTCCCGGGGTGTCCTGGTACCTCAGCACATGGTCCATGAAGGTGGATCCTGGGTACCTGCAGCACAGTAGCCAAGAGGTTTGACGGAGAGGCCAGTGCTTTTCTCACTTGTGTGCACTTTTCCCCCCATCAGCAGACAGCCTGACTGAAGATTTGAAGGGTTTGAGAATTTGGCTAGCGGCCATATCACCCCGCAACTCACAGCTGGCAGCCCACTGCAGCCCAGCAGGCGTGAGCCTGGTCAGTACCTGGATGGGAGACTCCTGGGAAAGACCAAGGCTGCTGCTGGAAGAGGTGTTAGTGGGGCCAACAGGGGGCGCTCACCCTGCGGTCTGTGTGGGTCCTAAAGCCCCAGTATAGTGACGCTGTCCTTCAGGTGAAACATAAAACAGAGGTCCTGACTCCCTGTGGTCATTAAAAATACCAGGGCTTTTCTCCAAAAGAGGAGGGGTGTAACCCCGGTGTCCTGGCCAAATTTCCCCCCTGGCCTTTACCAATCATGGCCTCCTAATAATCCCCATCTCTGAACTGGCTTCTTCTCCTCCAGTCTGAGAGCTGGTGTGTGGGGAGCGTACTGGTGCACTATAGCTGCCGTCTCATGATCCAGGTGGGCGTGGAGGGGAGTCCCCACTACCTGTACAGCGCTTTGAGTGGAGCGTCCAGAAAAGTGCTATGTAAGTGTATGCAATTATTATTATTATTATTATTATTATTAATGACAGGTGCGGATCTCCGTGTAGGAGTGTTGTTCTGCCCACACGGCCGCCCCACGGGGCTCACCTGTCCCCCCCGATGGCCACGCCCTCGAACACGCCGTCGGTGCCGCGGGAGATGATGTTGTTGAGCTCGTTGGACATGCCCCCCGAGCGGGACACGTACGCCACGCTGCCCGGCCGGTACAGCTTCGAGGCCAGGATGTTGTCCAGCATGCCGCCCGTGTTTCCGATCTTGAAGCAGCCCGGCTTGATCCCGCCGACCTGGGCAGGGGGCAGAGAGAACGCCGGGCTTGAACGGCACTCAGGACGGGCGAAGGGCCCCCCGAGCCCCGGGGGGGCTGGCCATTCACAACATGCTCTGCTGCAGCCAGGACGCATCCGTCGCCGCGGCTCACCGTCGCCGGGCCGATGATCGTGACGCCCTTCTCGTCCGCCGTCTTGATGAGCTTCCGGGTCTGCGCCTCCGGGATGCCCTCTGCGATGATGGCGATGGTGTGAATCTGAGGGAACAGAAGGGCCAGTCAGGACAGAGGGCAGGGTAGAATGCCACTCAAAACACTCTCACACACACACTCTCTCTCACACTCTCTCACAGGGTGGCTTAAGTATCAACACGACCCATCGGGGCCTGATCCGGGACTCCCACTGCCCGCCCGCCCCCTGCAGGCACCTGGGGGTACTGCATAGTCTCCATGGTGCTGTCGAAGGCGGAGCGCAGGGAAGCGAAGCTGATCAGCACGTCCACCTCCGGGTGCTTCCGCATGGCGTCGCTCATGTTCTTGTACACCGGGATCAGGATCTCTTTGTGGCCCCAGTAGAACTTCTGCTTGTGGTCCCCCCTGCAACACGACGCCCCACCAGGTTACAGGGTTACCGACGCAGCGCTCCCTGCAGCACCCGCAGGAGATGTTCAAGCACAGGCGCTGCTATTAAACCTGACGGGCCCTGCTGGGTGTAACTACCCGACAGTGCAATTCGCCTGCACACAAAACAGCGTCGGCAATGATCCTACGGTACAAAGGAGGTAGACGGGCCACATTCATTAGTAAACTTGGTCTTTCCATCACTGACAAAAATCTTGTGCACAAATGTGCTGATTAGAAAGAGAACCACATCTTTACACAAAGAGTTGTGGGAGGAGGGAACAAGCTGCCAAGCTGTGTTGTTGAAGCCAATATCCTGGATGCTTTCTAAACCAGCTGGCATAGATCCTCAGAGCAGAGAGCTACAAGCAACCAAATGAGCACATTTAGGAAAGAAAGATTACCAATCAGAGGAGACCACTGGACCCATCTGGCACATTTGGTAACTAATTGATCTAAGGAACTCATCTAGCTGTTCCTTGAAAGAAACCAGAGTATCAGCTTCAAGAACACAGGTGGGTAGCTGGGAGTTCGCCACTCCCACAACCCTTTGGGTAAAGAAGGGCCTTCGATACTAAGCTTTAAATGCACTTTGCTGTTCATTCTGCAATGCATGTGGATGCAGAAATACCGATGGCGAGCGCTTGATAGGCTGAACAGCCCCCTCCCTTTGGTTTCGGGACTCGTCTCTCATGTTTGCACCTCGGGGAGTTGCGCGGAGAGAGTGGGGCGGCGGCGGTCACTCACGTGAAGGGGTAGACCAGGGCCGCCACCGAAGGCTCCTCCCGGGAGCAGATGTAGTCGAAGTCCAGCATCCCCTGCACTGCCCTGGTCTGCATGCCCCACACGATGGCCTTGGTGTGCTTGGTGAACAGGGTGCTGGCTTTGGCTGCAGGGAGCGGGGGGGCAGAAGAGGAAATGGGCAAGGATGGACTCGCTCGCACACAGACACAGGACCCCGTCTGCGTTGTCCAGATAGACAGAGCACGCCCAGGCTCTTTTTCCCCACCCAACCACCAGAACCACCAAAAAACCCCAAAACGCTCAACTGTCAAAGCACACGAGCAGAGGCTGCGCTGGCAGACTTTCACACACGCGCCAGCTACGCAGATGCTGGATCACCCCCAAAAGCTTAGGCAGGACAGTGCAGGGTTTGGACAGTGCGGTACTGACTTTTTCTTCTTCCAATTCATTGAAATCTCAGGGGACGGTAAAAAAAAAAAATCCTCTACTTTTGCAATGACACAGAGGGAGGGAGGAAAATGGAAAGAGAGCGATTGTGATAAAAAAAATCGAAAAAACAAAAATGCAAAAAGGCGATGAGAGAGAAAGAGGAAGAAAGGAAAGGAGAGGTAATAAGAAAAAGAGGGACTGAAGACCTCTGCTTTTTACACTACATCCTGTTGAACACTAGGGGGTGCTGTCACACAGCTTAAGGCCCAGCTGGTGCCAGCTCTAGCAGGGGTCACATCACTGGACAGGTCAGGAGTGGGATTTTCCAAGGTCGCATGGAATTGGGCGAGTGCAGAAGTTACTGGCTCCTGCGAAAGGGCTCAGAGCTCCAAGAGTCACGTTGGCTCTGACAGAGAGGTCTACTGGGCCTGCCATCTTCAGACTGAGCCTTGATTACCAGACCTCTCCAAGATATTAAAGATACTTAAGAGAGAGCAATAAAGCACAGTTACTACAATACGATCCCCGCAACAATGAGAGATTTACTCTAGTGTAGCAAAAATGCGATTTAAGCTGGGACATTTCCAGCAACACGTCAAAAGAGAAGCATCTCGGACCCCTCACTTCAACCACACTGAGCTTATCTGTCCAGCTTACAGGTTGTCCCAGTTCACCCAGTACACTGCTGCTACTGGGGCTTCAGCAGCTCAGTGGCTTTCTTTTTACAACACAATGTGCCAGAGCAGGCACATATACAGGTGATTGTTTTTATTATTCGTCTTAATAAAAAGGAAATGGAAAAAAATCTGGACAAAAATAATAAAACCGCTTATTTGCCTCATCCCTAGTGCCTGTAAGAATCCTTTTCAGTCCTCAAGGCTGCACTGTGATCTACCCAGCTGCTGAAGTTCAGTCTTAATTCAACTTTTAGATGGAGGGAAAAAATAACACCTCAAATATTAAAATGACTTCATGTTCACATTGTTAAAACAATTTTCTTGCCTTGAAGGTTGGCGAATCTCATTGCCGAGGTCAACTGCGAACCACTGATGATGTCCTGAAGGACAGAACGCCACAGAAGGAAGATCAGGCTTATTTAGTTTTACTTCTGGAAATAATGTAACTTTTGAAAATTTTAAATCAAGTGCAAGTCCCCTCCAGCTAAAGACAAACTGAACAGGGCTTCTAAAAGGAAGGAAAAGAACCAAGAGTGGGAATAACACCCCCTCAGCAAAAGTAGGGCAAAGGGCAAAGGGCAAAGGGCAAAGGGCAAAGGGCGAGTGACACCTGTGGCAGCAGTGCGATGGTCAGAAGTAGACTAGTGAGGCAGGTGAGCAAACAGCCAGGCCTCACTGAGGCCTGGAGACACTAACCAGACCAGGGGGCTTTCCTACCTCCCACTCCGCCTGCCGAGCCCTGCTGCTCTGTTACGTCACCAGGCGACAATACAAACAACAACAGAACACAACACAAAAGAAAAATGAACAAAAAAAAAAAAGATCAACCGTCCTGCAGGGCACCGTCACATTCAAATGATCATAAACACCAAGCAGAATGCACAATAACCAGCACAGTATACACATCTCTATTCATATTTAGAAATGCTAAATACTTACCAGTGTACGTACAAATATATAAATGACATTAATGCCACATAACTACTACTAGCAAACTGGGCAATTACATCACACTGTATGTTGGTGAGGTGGGGGTGAGTGTATTTGGTGCTAAATTTAAGATGGCAGGACTTTGAAAGATTTAATGTCATGTTCACTTTAAGAGGGAGTTTTAAACATTACCCACTAAGGAAACACACTCTGGTTGCTCTTGATCCCTAAAGTCTTTAAAATGAAAAATGGAACCAAAAGTAAGGGCTGTACAATTCTGAACTTGTACAACACCAGTCAGTACATGCAGCTGCCTAACTATACACTTAAAACTTTACTACAAACTATGACCTGCAGGGGAGGCTTTTCAAAAGGGGCAGTGTGTGCTCGTCACATGACCAAGTGTTAACTGACGTGCATACTGCTGGCCATCTACTGGAAGAGCTTTCTTTCATGAGCAGCTCAGTGAACACTATTAATCAAAACCAATGACAAAGACAACCCACTCTGATAAATGCAAAGCCATTACACCACTGGTTCTTAATCTTTCCTGCTGTCTGCACCTCTTCGGTTTTCAAAATCTGTTCTCTCACCCCTTATCAAAAAACCACTCAAGTAGAGTAGGTCAGTTCTTTAAAAAATATATATTTTTCCTGACCTTAAATTATTTAATTTCTCAATAAAATGAAAAACGCATGAAAAAGCCTTGATTAGACAAAGTAGTTGTACTTATGTGCTTCTGTTTATTTAGTCTCTTCGATGATTTGCCGCCTTCTGTCAAATCCGGCATTTCCCAGACCCCCAGAAAGTGCAGGAACCCCAGGTTAAGAACCACTGCATTATACAACATTCTGTCACAAAGCTCACAACAATGTGGAAGTGCTTGCACAACTGCACACACACGAGGGTCACAATCACACTCCCAAGCATAGACCTAAGGTGCTATCCACCTGTCAATATCAGCTCAACACTCAGGATGTTCTTGCAAAGGAACAAGAGATCACGGACCAAAACTCCCAAAGTTCCCGAGTTTGTTGAAAGTTGAAATTAAATTAAATATTTCCTCAAAGAAGCCTGGAAATCCAGTAAAGAAACACAACTGGTAAGGACCAAAAGGCATATGCGGAAACTACTCTGCTTGAGGAGATCTACAAATTCAAAAGGGTTTCAACTCCAAACTGTACTCAAAGCTAATAGGTGAAAAACTCAAAGCCTGTTGTTGGTTTGTATGGATGTTTAGCCCTTTCTGGTGAGATAAATTAAATATAATATATACAAAGTTAATCACCATGCTATGCTTTTAGTCTAAATTGTTTCTCAGGAATTGCATATTTAAACCTGTTAACAACACAATGCATCTGAGCAATAAGCAATCAGGTTTCTACCTGCTACTGCCAAATGCACTACCACCAGTGGACTAGGATCTTGAAAATCCTAATCACAAAATGTACGTGCAAGCTTCAATCATCACTAAAAGCTTTTGGAATTGATCAGATGACAGAAGCTGCAATGCTTCGTCCTTCTCACTTTTACTGAATGCAGCAAGGTCTCAACAAGGTTGAGAGAGTTTTACAATTATAATTAGTAACACAAAAAACGTTAACAGTCAATTAATGTAAAGGGCTAAAGGGAATTGGAAAGGGGATTAGAATCAGATTAGTTGGATTTAGAAAATAAAGTTTTTGCCTAACTCAATTGTTAGAGCTCTTTGCATAAACAGCAACAGTAATAAATACACACAGAGCATCTGATATTATGCATTGAAATTTTCAGAAGCAGGCTGATAAAGTTCTTCAGAAGACTAATAGACATTCAGTAGGCAGTCAGGGAGACAAGTGACTGGTTAAAGAATTGGCTAATAGAGTATATTGGAGGTGAATACTCCAATTGGAGTGATGTTATCAATGGAGTACCACAGGAATCTCTACTAGGACCGCCGCTATTTTTAATAATTCAATTATCAAGATTCCGCTATAGTTAGTAAACTAGTTATGTTTGAGGATAATAGTAGATTACAATAATTTGTAAATGCAGAGAAGCAGCAAATTAAATTTTAAAAAGACTTAAATAAAATTCCTAGGCCAAGCACCTGGAAGATGCCTAGTGTAGACAAGTGGATTTCTTTGCATGCAAGTACTAAAAATAAACTATTAATACAAAATGTTAAGATGTGTAGTCAAAAGCGCTGAATTTTTACCTGCACTATCAATTAATCATGTTAAAACTCTGT